ATATAATATATGGTGACAAATAAATGTTTGGATAATTTTTCAAAAGAACAAATATTCAATAACAAGTCTTTTAAGGCAGGTAAGAAAAAATAAATAATTTTTGATGTAAAAACTTAACATTTATTAACATTTATTAACAGTACCATCATGGTCTGTCCTGTGCAGAGTGACAAAATGCAAAAAATATTTCTTTACTAAAACCTCTAACTTGGCTCCAGTTAATTTTAGCAGCATGAATCTTTGCACAGGTAATGTACACAAGTGGATTTATGGTTTCCAAGAGTTTTTAGCCTGATTCATTGTGGTTTTAAATAGGTTAAATACTGTCTAATGAAAAAAAATATTCAGGTGAAAGTGAATTTTTTTTTAAAAATTACGTTCCATCGCCAATATCTATAAAACCACAGCAGCTGTTTTAATACTTACACTTCTGATGAAATCTCCCAAGTGTTAGCTTTATTTTGATACCAAGATTATTTAAGTAGAGTTTGTAAATGCTGAGATACACTCAATTACATTTCAGCATGGTATTTTGAGCAAAAACTTTAAGAAAACCCCTTGTGGCTTAAGAGGTTAAACTAGTTTGAAGTATGAAACTTTTACATCTCCCAGTATTTATCAAAAGCACACTCACCACCAGCTGAAGCAGCAGCTCATCAAGCAAACGAATGGCTTCGACACTGCCAGCCTGCGTCTTCTTTGTGAGGTACTTGGCCTGTGAAGACAAAGATTGAAGGTTTAAAGTAAACCTGTTCAAGAAGGCTCCCTTCTAAGAGAATTAAATGAATCCTAAGTGTTGGCTGTCTTGCCACCTTTGTTGATGCATCCTTCTCCTGGGTGCTTTGGCTCAGCAGGTTTCCAGCCAGCAGAACTCTAGAAATGGTCGCTGCCCCGCTCTGCTCCGCCATGTCACCAAGCTGCCCCGTCACCATGTCTACGAGCAGCTGCAGCCCCAACATGCTGTCCGCACGGCTGCTGCCGAGGCCGAGTCCCGAGCCCAGGAGCACAAACCTGAGCAGACGGAGCAGTTAGTGCAGGTTATCGCCGAGAGCTGGGATTTTCTGTGTGTGTGTGTGTGACAGAGAGAGAGATTGTGAGTTCACCTGTCAGAGCTAAGAGCAGGCCTCGGTGTCTGCGGAGGGAGATCAGCTGTGCAAAAGTCCTCAACCGTGAATTTGCCATCATTCTTTTCAGCTCCATATATGGCAACAACACTACCTGAGATCGTAAGAAAAAATACAATCACAATCAAGACGCATTCAAAGCTGACTGTGGCGTCTTTTAACAACACTGACCTGTGACACACTTGTCTCTGTCGATTTTACCCTCGAGTTTTATCCTCTGGAGCTCATCCTCCAGGATTAGTTCATCGGTTTCACTGATGTATTTGGCTCGTGCAGGCTGCGGCAGAAGGTTGTGCTAAAGAAAGGAAGGAAGATGTTTGAGTTCACAAACACCAGAGCAGTTGGTTTAATGTTCAGTGGCTGCATGATGGCGACCAACCTCCTCGCTGATCTCTCTGAGGATAGATGGCTGCAGGTCCATCCGCTTGAACAGAGTCCCCACAATGCAACACTGCTCCCCTGTCTCCAGATCACACAGCTTCTTGATAGGCACACCTGATCCTGACAGAGAGAAAAATACATCAGAAAAGTCACTGAAGTATAAATGAGATGTCTCAGAGTCTCTGATGTTCCTACCCCACTTCTGCTGAGCTCTCGCTGATAGCAGGGGCCTCATCTGCATGAGTCGTGCTGCATAAATATGAGCATATTGACGGTTGAAGCTCCGCTCCCCAACGCCGTAGCGGTCCGAGCAGGGACTGTAGACCAGCGTCCCTCTCTCAAAAACCGGTCCCTGATCCTCAGAGGCCGGGCGGCAGAGCAGAGAGGAGCCCTCCTTCTGGGCACTCAGGTCTGAGAACATGACTGTCTTTGGAAAAAACGAAAAAACAGCGACTTGTATAAAAGGTAAACACAGAACCATCATCATGCACTATGGTTAGCATACTGAGTTAGCATAGTTGTAACAGATGTAGCGACATTACCTTGAATGAAATTAAGTCTGGCTATAGTTTTGTCTGTATTAGTTCGGGTTTAAAGCTGTATTTTCTGAATTTGTCCTCCCCGGAGTAATAATGAGAACATTTCCCGCGTAAACACTCCTTGATGTCTATTTCCGGTGCTAACCGGTGTTCTCGCGAGAGTTGACCAAAAAAAAAAAACCCACGAAAAATGTAAAAATTTAATAATTAAAAATAAAAAAGACAAGACATCGTGTATATGAATTTTCCTACAAAATTATTATTGTATGTCAGCCTATTGTAAAATTTACATCATTGTAGATCATTGCACTGACACGCCTTATGTATTTTTACCTGAAAATAAGTTTGAGTATTATGCTCAAAAACGCATATTTTGTTTCTCTAAAACTGTCTCCACACATTTATAAATTAAAAAAACTAGCAGAAACCTGTCACAGTGACATGATGGGTTCCTATTTCTTTAGCTGAACACATTAAAATACAAGACAACACACATAAATACCTTTTTCCTGATAAATACCTTTTTCAACAGTCTGGATACCGAATATCGGCTGAAATGATTCAACAGAAAAATTTGCAGATAACATACATACATCTTGGTTTTATTTCTTTGTGAAATAAATTATAATATTCATCTGTAATAAATTAGGCCTGACACTGCTTTTCAGTTGTCCACTTTCCTTTATTTTCAAAAGTAGCCAACACATCATTATGCTGGTCAAAGAATTGGACTGAAAATATGAAAAAAAACATAAAAGAAATAGTGGAAGACATCCAGAAATGCTTTAAAACTGCTGATCCAGATACATATTTTACAGATTACTAGAAAATCTGGATGCTTGAAAGTAATTGGTTTAAAACTTTTGCGCAGTTCTGTCTACGTCTTAAATAAATACATAATTGTAAACACATTACATTTTTTATTGTAAATTCAAAAATGCAATATAACAAGGCATCATTTACACACAGAGATATACAGTTTTACATAAACCTGAGCAGAAACCTCTGGTCATAATTAAAAAAACAACGTCGCAAAGACAAGACGTCACAGGTTTTAAATGATTTCGTCGCACAGATTTGACGTCACAATAGCGTCGCAGCGGCACGTCGTCGCCATTTTCGCAGCTCTTTGTAACCATTTGCTAAGAGTTTGCTGCCTTTACGGGGCAATTGACCAACGTCTATTTAATTTAGTGAGAAAAGATGCAAGGATTCAGAGGTCCCCAACAGAACCACGGACTCAACCGTCCGGGAGACCACATGGGCGATGGAGCTAACAGCAACGGGCAGCAGCCGGAGCCCAGCGAGCAGACCAACCCCAACGCGGCCTTAACCCTGGACCCGCAGAGCTTCAGAAAACCCGGGGAGAAAACGTTCACCCAGCGGAGCAGGCTGTTCGTCGGAAACCTCCCGACCGGAGTCACCGAGGAGGAGCTGGAGAAGTTGTTCGCCAAGTATGGGAAGGCCAGTGAGGTTTTTGTGAATAAGGAGAGAGGCTTCGGCTTCATCCGGCTGGAGACCAGGATCATCGCCGAGATCGCCAGATCCGAGCTGGATGACTTCGTGGTCAAAGGCCGGCCCATACGGGTGAGGTTTGCCACTCACGGTGCCGCGTTATCTGTGAAGAATTTGCCAGAGTTCGTGTCCAACGAGCTGCTGGAGGAGGCCTTCGCCATATTCGGTCAGATAGAACGGGCAGTGGTGATCGTGGACGACCGTGGGAGGCCCACGGGGAAGGGAATCGTGGAGTTCACCACGAAGCCAGCTGCAAGAAAGGCTCTGGATAAGTGCAGCGACAGTGCCTACCTCATGACAGCTTTTCCTCGACCCATTACAGTGGAACCAATGGAGCAGTTTGATGAAGATGAGGGACTGCCAGAGAAGCTGATCAACAAAAACCAGCAGTATCACAAAGAGCGTGAGCAGCCTCCACGGTTTGCCCAGCCCGGCTCCTTTGAGTACGAGTACGCCATGCGCTGGAAAGCCCTGATGGAGATGGAGAAGCAGCAGTACGAGATGGTGGACCGCAACATGAAGGACGCTCAGGAGAAGCTGGAGCAGGAGATGGAGGCGGCCAGACACGAGCACCAGGTGATGCTGATGAGGCAGGACCTGCTGAGGCGGCAGGAGGAGCTCCGGAGGATGGAGGAGCTCCACAGCCAGGAGGTGCAGAAGAGGAAGCAGGCCGAGCTCCGACAGGAGGAGGAGCGCCGCAGGAGGGAGGAGGAGATGAGGCTGCACAACGAGGAGTTGATGAAGAGGCAGCAGGAGGGCTTCAGGGGCAGCTTCCCTGAAAACAGGGAGCAGGAGATGAGGATGCACATGGGGGGCCACGGGATGTCCATGAACAGAAATTCACTGGGTGGAGGTTCGGGCTCCGCAGGTACCGCCGGCATAACGGCTGAGAGTTCTCCAATGATGTCAGGGTCCGGAAACAACAACCTGCCTGTTGGAGGCCAGGGGGGCTTCTCCAGGGGGCTCCCTGGCTCCGGAGACTATAACAAACAGCGCAGATTTTAAATCCCATGTATTATTCTCCTTTTTCATACTCTCTGTACTTTTAAGTTGAAGGTAGTTGGGGGTGTTATGTTTGACCTTTGGAATCTGCATGTATGTTTTATTTTTTTATTTTTATTTTTTGTACCTTTTTTTTTCTTTGTATTTTTGTCTTATTTTAGTACTAATGTGTCAAAACCCTTCAGACGAGCCACACAATTTTAATTGCTCTAAATAAGAATTGATTTCTTAGGAATAGAAAATGGTTTTTGTCCTGGAAATGTGACATTTTCTGAAATAAATTCATGATTCCCTAAAATGAAGTATTTCATTTCCAGTAGTTCAGAGTTTCTTGTATTTCACAGAAACACGAGGACCAATGTTTTCAGCTCACATCAGCGTCACTTTCACTAAAAATATAATTTTAACCACGACCAGTTGGAGCGTTAACAACTGGTGAAACGACCTGCTGAAATAACACAATAGATGTCAGAAATCAGTGCAATGTAAAAAAAAAGTAAGCACAAAGCAGCTGTTTCACAAGTGAAGCACTGACAGTCATACTTAAAAATTAAACATTTCATTAAAAGGCAAGAGCTGTGAAATAAGCCTGATGGTTCTCAGAGAAATCAACATTGTCAAATATAAGTTTTATATTATTTCAGACAGTTTTACTTTAATAAAGAAGCTCTTTCTAGGAGATGCTATTTGTTCGTATCAGAGTCCAAGATGTCAGTGTGCCCCTTAATCCAGCAGCGCAATGAGAACTCCACAAATAAAACCTGATAAGGACCAGATAATAAAGAGGGAAAGTGTTATCTGAACGTGAGATCTAGAAGATCGAAAAGGTCTGGATGAACGTTTGAACTCTGAAGGACAAAACAGTTTTTCTGTACAGCTGTCATTTCACAGTAAGAAATACTTTCATATTTATAAGCTTTATAAACACGTTCAAAGTGTTCTATTTTAAATTATATATGAAAATTTGACTATAATTTCAGTAGTGAATAAAATGACAAATCTCTGGACAATATAAACCAGTTTATAAAATTTCTGAACCTTTTTTGTCTGCATTGTTTTGTTAATTTCAGCCACAGTCAACTTTAACAGCATTTCATAAAATAAAACAGTTCAGAATTAGTTCCCACTTCATGAAGCAGATATTTTTGTCATAACCATAATAATATTGAGACTATGACAAAAATGGCTTTAAAAAGACACATTGTCCTGATGCAACTTTATTGCAGTTGGTGACTAAAATCAAGGTGTTATTACATTATTATTACAATTCGGTTTTAGTTGGTTATAAAAAATGTGTTTTAACAAATTAGTCTCATGGCAGCATACCCTCAATACACACTTTTTTCATAATTTTTTAATTTTATTTGTCTTAGATTTGATTTATTTAGCAAAAACATTGCACATACATACATACACACAAAGTACTGTACATCCATTATTAGTACGTGGATGACACAATAAAGTGAAAACATTTAATTCCATTGAGGTCCAAAACAAAACAGAATTTTTATAGAAAAGAAAAACACTAGGATAAGAAAATGGAGTACAAAGAAAGAAATAGAACACAATAAATTCTGAAAATCAACATAATAAACTGAAAGAAAAAATAAAAGAAGATACCCTGCAACTAGAGAGTGGAACCAGGTCCAGCTGTTTCAGAGAATCTGGGTCAAAACGAGGGCAGATCAGTCTTTGTGTCGATTTTAGAAACACAGACACCATCAGTAGAAGGTTCACTAAATAATTCTTCAAAATAAAATACTCCAATAACCTTATTATTCAGAATATTGTAACTACTTCAATATTACTTTCTTTTTAGCAACTCTAATTAATCAAACTGATCAACCCTGGATAAATTGGCAAAAAGCAAAGTTCAGTCCTGCAAAAATTGAATGTTTATAATTTGTTTGCAGCAATTTTTTAGTCATTTTGCCAAGTTGGCAATTTTTATACGTTACTGCAACTTTTATCAGCATATGTCCCGAGTCTCCCGTTCTTTTTTACCATCTCTGTTTATCGCACAGATTTTGATTCGTTCATGCACCTTGGCCCTGATTGCTCGGATGATCCTGTGGTGTAACCTGGACTGTCAGCTTTATCTTGGCCGTGACCTTCGTGTGTGATAACAGCATTTATTTCAAAGTTGGGGGGAAATGAAGGAATTTGATCCAGGGCACAATTTATTGTGCTGTCTTCTCCCACTATCAGCCATCCGCTATCAGGTAAAAAAAAGGTAGAAAGTTGTTAGGTTGTTAGAAAGCGGCTCTGTGTGTTTTGAGCGATGTCATTCACTAACTTATAGCTGCACCAGTTCAACTGTCAGTATCTGATGGGCTAAAGGTCACGTTCAGTGATGTTTTGCACATTTGACACATAAAGTTTCCCTGACAACAACAAAGAAACAAAGGCCTAGCATTCCTTGAAGGAATGCACATCACCCACCGCATCTCACAATATAAGTTTAAGCTAAGCCTGTATTATAATGAGAAACAACGAGGCTATGATCGCTTTGGTCAAACTTTACAAATGACTATGCAGGATTCCATGTGTGATCTTTTAGTGCTTAATGGGGATGACTCTCAGCTACTACCACACCAAATATTAGCTGAATATTTGTACATTTGTTTGAGTTATAGGCACTTTTGTGTTGGCTGATGTAGATTAGCTGTGACAGTCATCTTGAACTGGATTGATTCCAAAAGTTAACAAACAACCAGCGAGAGTTTCATTAAAATCCAGTCATATTTCTCTAACAGACAAGCGAGGCTTTCACCAACAGTTGATGCCAAAGTTCGAAGCAAAGATGTCTTATCGTGTGTAGTGTTTAGAGTATGTGTTGTGAATGACTCTCAACCACTACCACAACACGTTTAGGCAGAATATCTGTAAAACTGATTTATTCTCATTATGTTTTCTAAGTTCAGGTGGCTGCCGCAGCGTATGGAGA